TTTTTTTTTTTTTTTTTTTTTTTTTTTTTTTTTTTTTTTTTTTTTTTTTTTTTTTTTTTTGTTTTTTTTTTTTTTTTAAAAAAAAAAAAAAAAAAAAAAAAAAAAAACCTATACACGTACATACAATATATATTTTATGATATAAGATTCTTTGCAAAATTCGAAGTTGGCCTCGTGTTTCAGCAGGATGACGCGTTAAGACGCGGTTGCAACATGACTGAATGACTAACATTTTTGTTTATGGGTGATAATTAAGCAGTTGAATAATAGACAATGAAGTACAGTATCTCGACAAACTTTTGAACATGAAATAACTCCGAGAGTAAAAGTGAAAATGACGTAAAGAAATTATTACCGTAATTATGCATCACCATAAAATGATTATTCCCTGACTTATTCCTTACGCAAATTTTCCCTCAAACTTTGAAATTTTATAAGATCGAAATACAAAAGTTCTTTTAGACCCGTAATTGTCATGCATATTGATGGCTATAGTCTGGAAATATTAGTGGATGGGAAGCCTCTGCAGGAGTGTCAAGTTCCTATTAAAGAATATGAAGTATGTTTCTCCAGAAATTGACATAATTGGGGCGACATATACTGTATCCCTCTAGAAAAAAAAAATAACATTCATTTTATTGAAGCCTCTCCCAACAGGTCCATCATTTACCTTCAGAGAAGAAATCCAAGAGAACATATGCAGGTACGTACTGTAAAACTGATTTTCGTCATTCCCGGCGGTTTAAAAAAATTACATGCTTTCCATATAATACCCACCAAACAGTGGATTGGCGACCTACGTATCAATTCCGCTGATGAGAACTCCTTTCACAATCCAAATTTCAGCATCAAATGCAACTCCTGTTACTCCGATTCGTGCCGAAATCTATATTGACGACATTTCGGATGGTACCTACTGCGATCTTGTAAATTCCGCACCCAAGGTCAAAGAAGGATTCTGGAATGAAGATCTAGATGAATTGCATTACTTTAATTTCGAATTTGGAGGAATTGAATATAATAACTTCCTTGACTTCGATTTTTATATTGTACAAAGTTCTTCTTGTCTAGGTAAGTTTTTTGGGGCACATAACTATTGCCATTGTGGCACGCTCAGATTTATAAAGAACGAACATATCTTCAATAGCCAGTGAATTGAGTGCACGCCAAGAAAAAGAAGGGTTACGGATTCCTTCTCAAACAGAAGCATACAATGCACCATTTAGACCTGGGTTCGGTGCGGTCTCGGCATACTTCTTTAAATCAAAGCAGGTGTATAAAGAGAATGTTGCGTGCAACCCTGAAAGTACAAGTATAGACTCTCGAGAATACAACTTAAATGACGGTTTGGTATACCAAATAAAGAAAAACCAAAAGATGGATTGCGAAGTTATAAGAGATAATTTGCATCTAGAGGTTGTAGACGAACACCAGCCGCTTGCAGTGCTACACGTTCATTATAGACCATTACAGTGGTTAACCAGCAGAGGATTAATTCGAGTCGATAAATCTCAGGAAGAAGCATTCTACAAGTCAAAGTTTAGAGCGATGAAGTATGTTGATTTGAATTCAAACGGAGAGGAGTTTGATGCTAATAAGAATAAAAAAGAAAATAAAACTGGAGATCAAATCAAGAGCAAAGGGATCATAAACAAAGTGAAATATCGAACCAATGATTTTTTTAATGTCAACCTCGGAAAGAATACCTTGGAAAATTATAAATTTTCCTTTCCTTGGGCTTCGCCCGAAATGTCCCAGGCTGAGATTGTCAACCAAAATGATGATTTACAAATCATTTCTCAACACGACTTTCTAGATACATTAAAGAGGAAGCAGGGATTTGATTCTAGCGCAAGTTCCTTGTTACAAGGAATCGAAGATTTGCAACCAGGCCTAGAAAATAATAGGAAACGAAAAAGGATATCATATAATGAATTTGTAGAATTGCTTGATTCCGAAGATGAATAATATTTTCCATCTCGAGGCTAGTCTTTTGTTATTATGTTGATGTAGGTATAGGTTATTTTATGCGAAGCTTTTTTTTTTTTGTATTTGAAATGTGTTTTTGAATTGGATATATTGTATTTCACACATTGAAACTGGATATAGATATAGTTTCTTGTATTAATAAGCATGTTCGTGTATACATAGGAAGTCGATACATGTAAATGTTTGAGAATTAAGCATTGACCTTTGAAAGAAATCAAAGAAAAATCTATATTAAAGTTAAATTCCTCTATATTTGGTATACAGTATATAGGATAATCAAAATTTTTAAAATCTTTAAAAATTTATATACATAATATTATAATATATTATGAAATATAATTAAAGAGTTAATAAAAATTTTTTTATATTATGTAAAAAATAGTTATAATCTTTCATTCACTCTTTTATTAGGGATTTTAAATTATAGAGGTCTGTGGCTAATGAAACACAAAAATAACTTGAATTGTAAAATTTAAAAGTAATACAAAAAAGTCAATTATAATTAAAAAGATTAGAGTGGCTTGTATAGCTTGTGTAGTACAAAAATGGTACAGTTTATACATATGTAAAGGAAGTTAAATAAACATAAAAAAAAAGCATAAAAGAGTATAAAAAAGATATAATATTTCATAAAAAGAATTAAAGAGAATAACTTGAAATTAAGATGAACTATTTTACAATTATTATTAATTTATTAATTTGCTCAATTTATTCGCTTTTAAATTAAATAAATAAATAAGAATTAAAGTAAAAAAATATAGAGTTAAAATTCTTTACCAATATAAATATGCTATAATTTTTAAAAGAAATAAAAATAAAAGTTTTTCAATAAATATTATTAATAGTAAAATATAAAAAAAGTAAAAGGATTAGAAAAAAAATAAGAAAATATTTCTAATTATATAAGAATAAAAACAAATATTTTATTTATAAAAACCATTAATAATTTAAATAAATAAATAAATATATTTTAAAATCTACAACTAGTATTTAGTATATATACTTTATTTATTAAATCTAGACTTAACAAATTTTATATGAACAAAATATCATTCTAGTAAATATCAATTATCTCATATAAACTATATATTTTTATATAGTATATATATAAATTAATTATTATTTATTGCAACTATTCTACTAGACTCATTTATACTTTATAAATAGATAAATCTAATTGAAAATTGAATAATAAAATATATAGTCATTCATAACAAGTTCTAATTAATTAGTATTAAATTTATAAATTTTTATTATTTCACTAAACTAATATAGTTATATATATACTTGATAAACTTAAATACTTTTTAATATATTTAGATATTATTTACTTAGATCTTAGAAAAGGAGATGTTACCTTCTTTATTATTATTTATAATATCAAATTAGTTCCTATTAACTGACTTTTATTTAAATAAAATATTAAATTAAAATATTTTAAGCTAAAAAGTGGAGTTTATGAAATCTATTAGAACAAAACAATTTTATAAGATATTTGAAAAAGTTAAACTAGAAGTATTTTTTATTCAATTCTTTTAATAAAATAATTATAGTAATTAAAATTTTAAATTTGAATCAAATTAATTTATAAATTTGTTTTGATCTGATTAAATTAAATTTTAAACTTTTTAATCCATTTATAATTAAATTAGATTAAGATATCAAATTTTAAAATCTAATTAAATCTATTTGAATTTAAATAGTTTTAAATTTAAAATAGACAATATAGTTTTAAAAAAAGAAATATTAGCTATAACAGTTTATCAAAAGAATAAAAAAAAAAGTACAAATCAAGAGAATATATTCAAATAACTTGATACAATAAACTATTTGAACCAATTTCACAAGAAGAACTAAATGAAATAATGAAGACACTTCTCAACAACAAAGCTCTAGGATAATCTCAAATCAGTTATAAAATATTGAAAAGGTTAAGCCAAGAGGGAAAAGATTTCTTGAGAATAACTTCTTAAGATAGGAAGTCACTCTAAAATATTGGAAACAGAGCTATATATATTCTATAGCTAAATCTAAATCTTGAGATTATGAACTCTCAAATACTAGACCTATTGTCTTACTAGAGATCACAAGAAAGTGTTTTACCAAAATTCTTACCAATAGAATAGAAAATATTTATAAAACCAATAATATTCTCAAAGGATCAAACTATGCAGAGTTGCTAGGGAAAAGTATAGTAGAATTAATTCAGATTCTCAACAATATTTGTGAAGTGCCAGAAAAAACAAAAAAAAATTGTGGATACTTTTTCAAGATACTGCAAAAGCATATAATACAATTAGTCTAGATATGCTGGTAAAAGCAATGAAAAGAATCAAAACTCAAAAGGTTTCATAAAAATCATAATGAGCTTCTTTAAAAATAAAGAATTTTGAGTTATATTTGAAAATGATCCCACAAAATTAATAGTAGATAAAGATGGAATCGATCAAAGAGAAATTATCTCACCTATACTATAAAGAATTTTTTATAATTCTCTCCTTTACAAAATCTAAAGTGATATATAAAGAGGGTATAAAAGTTTAGTTACATGAAATCCTGATCTAAAAAAATAAACTACAAGAAGGCTAGAATCAAGATATGCAACTATAGCCTTTATAGATAATACAATGTGAATAGCAAGATCTAAGAAGAATATAAAAATGATTCTGAAAATTGCAAAAATCTTCTATAAAGTCAATAATTCTTAAATAAATAATAATAAATCAGTTTTGGTTACTATTAACAATCCTAATTATTATCCAGAAGAAGTAAAAGCAGGTACTAAAGAAGAAGTAGTTAAAAAACTTGATAGAACAGAATAGGCTAGATTCTTAGGAATTTGGATATGCAATTAAAAAATAGCAATAGAGCTTAAAGAATAGGTGCTTAAAGAAGTTAATATAGTTACAAGAGTCCTTAAATATAAAAAGGTGACAGATAAACAAGTCCTCTATATTTTGAATAGATTATTAATATCTAAAATAGAATTTAGAATGCAATATAGTATATTGTCTTGAAAAATATATAATACCTTGACAATAGTATACAGAAAACTTTTCAAAAATAAGAATAGTTTATGCAGATCTATACCCAACAATGTAATTCACTATCCAAAGATCCATAATTTGAAAAGTGTTTGAATACTACAAAGAGAAAGTCAAGTAACAGACTTTACAATAGACTAAATGATTCTGGATCAATAGGGATCACAACAATTAATAGACTCAAATATACATAGATTTAAAATTAGAAAATATTTAATTTATTAACCTATAAATCCTTAAGTCTCTTAATAGACAAAAGCAACTTTACACTTCAAGTGACTAGAATTGTTAAAGATATGATAATAATATTTTATAGTTGAAAATAGTAAGATATTTTTGAATAAAAAAGGGAAACAGTTAGATTGAAGAATATCTTGCACCAGAAGAATATAAAAATATCATACTATTACTTAGAAACAATCAATTAATATATCTGAACCAACTGATTAATCAGAAAATTAAAAAAATAAGAAACTGGCAAATGCTTCAACTTTTGCAAGATATATGCAAAGGATCTATACCAGAATGGTTTCAAATTATAGTCAAAAATCTCCCAGAAAACAATTAAAGCAACTTATAAAATCCTGGAAAGAAAATTATATAAAATGGAAACCAAAATACTCTAAAATAGAACCTAATCAAGACAAGCAGAAAAAATTGTAAATAGTAATAAAAAACAAAGAAATCAAGTAACTTGAAAAAAATTAAGACAAGAAAAAGAGAAAAATGGTATAATAGTGGAACACTTTATTAATTGTAGTATCAAAATAACTAGGAAACCAATATACAAAAATGTTCAGAATGTTTAGAAAGTACAATACTCATGGTGACTATTCAATATAAGAAAGTTTACCAGAAGAATATGAAATTTAAAAATCTCTAATCCTAGGTTAGCACTTGAAAAAAGAATTAAAAAAGTGGTTTACAATGACCAAAGTCCATTCAAAATTCAAAATGATAGAGTAAATTATGTGGACATTGAAACCTGAAAAGAATCTATTATTAAAGAAAATATTAAATAAGGAGCATATCAAGATTATCTAATAGCTATATTTCAATGTAATCTTGAATCTAAAGAAAAGTTAATCTTCTATTCTGATAGATTACTTATTAATCATGGTAAAGAAGAAATAAAGATAGGAGTATTTGGATTTAGATCAGAAAAGATGGATAGGAAAGTAAGTTTTATATAGGAGTAAACAATTGACTTTCATCTACAAGAGCTGAATTGATAATAATCATAATAATACTTCTTGTAGTTCCAATTGAAAGTATAGTGAAGATCTTTACAGACAATTAGGCATGTATTTTCAGGTGAAAATTTTTAGAAAAAGAAGATCCAAGAAGGATACATAAAAGATGGCTTAAAGAAAAAAGGTATTCCTCTGGATATATAGGATAAAGCTAATAAAGAAAAAAAATATAGATCTAAAGCTTACAAAAATCAAGGCATACTCAAATGATCCTTATAATAAAGAAGCAAATATCTTAGTTAAGAAAACTCAAAAATTTCCATTAATTGAATGGAAAAACCTCATTTCACACAAAATTATTATTGAAATCAAATAGCAAGAAATGACTCTAGATAATTCAATTAGATAGTTTAATAAGAACATTAATAATAAGACAATAGCCTATCAGTGGACACAACAAAATAAAACAGAGAAAAAATAGAGTTATCAGATTTTAGAACACCAGTCTCATACATGGAACCTAGTATGAAAAAGAATTAAAGATATGTATATATGGAATACATCTTTTAAACAATTTTAACAAAGAAGCTTTCTTATTAAACTAGCCAATAACAAGATACCTATCCTAAATAAGTTGGCTATAGAAAGACTGAACCTATATAAGCAAGTGAGATACTGTATATTGTATATAGCCAACAAAATGAAACTATAGAATACTTGCTAGAATGTTTAACCTATAAGA